CTTGCTCCGTACACCCCAAGATCAGTGGGACATCCCTCTACCAGCAGCTGCAGGATGTAGGGAGAAATCCTGACTCATGATACCAGAAGTAGTTAAATCTCAGATTGCAATCAGGGCAGCTGGAGGAGTGCAAAAGGCAGCAAACTGAACTTCATGCTCTGAACCAGCTGTTCCAAACTTAACCAGGTGCCAAGTACCACAAGAAGAGTTTGGCAAGAGCCCAGGAGGATTTCTGCAGAGGATTAAATGCCTCTTACTGCAAATCTGACCCCTTTAACTAGACACATAGCCCAATTAAAATATCACAAGAGGACATCACAGAAAGAGGTACTTGCCAGCTCTTTCATACACCAGAATTCTCAGAGCAATGCAACTTGTTGATTAGTATGGGACTCTTGAGATATAGAGGATGAAAGACAACACAGTAAAACAGGCTTCTAATATCTCTTCCCAGTAGTTCCCAATGTTCTACACCAAAGAAAGCATATTTCAAAGACGGCAAGAGTACAGAGCACTTCAGTTGCCTAACCTCTGCACATCCCAGGGAATCAGAGACAACGTGCTTGCACAGAACTCTGCGATGGGGAGTGTGTCTCTCACCTGATAGTATTATCTGAAGAGCCGCTCACTACTAGCCTGTCTCTGTACTGCAGACATGCAATGCCTCGTTTGTGGCCATTTAAGGTGCGCACAAATTCGCAGGTACTAGTGTTCCATACCTGTGACAGGAAGGGGGGAGGGAACCACACAGAGACAAAATTATAAGAAGAGACTAACAAAAGCTGGTATCTGTATGATATATAGGTACATCCAGAATGCTCTTAATTGAAGATGCTATCATTAAGACTGGGAAAATTACCCCTCTGATGACTTGTGACTATAGTCTGCAACTGTTGCCAGCTTGGGTCACTGTACACAGAAGATTTTTGCCACACTGTATATGAGAATTAGCTTCCAAAATCAGACTTCAGCAGTCTCAGGCTATGATTTAGTCTACACAGGATCTCGATTTTCCTCAGTTTTAATGTTGCAGATTGGGATCATAGCAGTAACACTTAAGTGACTCCTATCCACTCACCTTCACTTTTGCCCCCATGCTGCCCTCTGACAACTGTTCGAATGACTGATGCCGAAACAGATTATGGAAGTGGTCAAGTCGAAAAAGAACACAGAAAAAAAAGTCCTTTTTCAACTGCATCTGTACCTGGATCTGATTTGCCATACAGCTCTGTAAACAAGTTGTGCAAGCTCAACAGAGGAGGGATGAGTGGAAATGAGCAGCAGGAAGGACATTGCTTCTAAAGGAAGATCTGTGTAATAACTGCCAAGGATGATCTTCCCTGTCCGGTCACTGTTCTTGGTTATTAAATACCCCAGTGCTGCAAATAAAAAGCCTCTGAAACACCTCACCTTTATAGTTCTGTCACCTGATGCTGATACAATGTACTTGTCATCAAAGTCCACTACGTTGACAGCAGCTCGGTGCCCTACTAGCACCCTCCTCAGGGTGATGTCTGTTGGTGAAGCCATGTCCCACACAGCAATGGAACGGTCTTTGGAACACGTCACCATCATGCCGTTATTGAAGCGGAGGTGCAGTACTGCTTCGCAGTGGTGAATCAGTGTATTCAGCATCTCGCCTGCATTCACGTCCCACACCCTGCAGTTTCACATTTCAAACCAGAGAGAAGAGAGTTAAAAAACTGTACCGTGGATTTTTTGCAGAGTGAGAGAAGGATGGGGAGAGGTAATTGACTCCCTAGCAATATTAGAGAAGCAAACACCACAAGTTATATCTACTTCTATTGAATAGTTCATTAAAGGATGTATTATATAAACCTGTTGATCATGCATACATCGAGACAGTCCAGCAGCCAAAAACCCTGCAATGCAGTTAACACCATAAAAATAACCCAGCCAGGAAAAAAGCGTTCTTTAATTAAGGGAATTTAGTGCTGAGGAAAGGTATGAGATTGATGGCTTTAAAGACTGACGTTTCCTGGTTGTGTCAGCCTACCACACACTCCATTTCCAGTCAATGAGTACTTAATCACGACCTGTGGAGAAGCAAGTTCAGTGACAGGTTTAATTTTTGCCCTCTCTCACAGGACTACCAACTCAAAGGATAATTTACACAGAAGCAGAAGACAAGATAATGCTTTTCAAACAAATATAAGTAATTGCCACAAGTTGCACCACGAATTGCATTTACCCTGCAGTGCATCTGGTACACAGCTACATTCCAGGAATGTGCTGAATACCCAAATTAAGACAGAGCATTTATGTCAATTTAATGTTATTGGAACCAACTGTTTCAGCTGAAAGATAATTTAAGATCAAAGTTAGACAAAGGCTTCGTACAGAACTTCTAGGACTTGAAATGAAGGTTTTAAGCCTTAAAAATGTTTATTTTGGGCTATTCTGTTGGCAAACTTCTTTTACCCTCCATAAAGAGATTTCTTTTGGCACTATCACACCTGTATCCCAGATACACTACATGAGAGCAGAAAATGGTTGTTATCATCAGGCACATCAGACATTGCAGAAGTTAAAACTTTCCTCTGCCAATAAGGCAAGCAGCAAGATGTGAGAAAGACTTCTAATGTCTTATTTTCTAACTTATGGAGGCTGAAGTGTATCAACTTATGGACTATAAATGAGAAAGAAAACTACATTCCAATTACAAAATGCAAAGGAGAAAAACCCACAGACTGAAGACGTGAGCCATTAACATACGAGCAGTTTGCAGACAGGGTTGCCAAACTGAACAGGAGCTGGAGACCTACTGACTTCTTTGGACAAGTGCATCCCTGAGATCTCAGAAGCATTAAGAGCCCATCTGTACTGTCTATTGGATGAAGCCCCTCTTCCTGAGGAGACCCAAGGATAAAAGTGATGCATCCTATGTGCCCCTGGGGTCTGCACAAACATTTATAGATACAGTGGGAAACAAAGTATTTCTGGGCAAGTAGCCAGTCTGCAATTTGGCCTGCCTGGCCTGATATGGAAGATGATAGTGCTTGTTACAGAAATCAGCCTCTCCTTTTGCAATCTGTTTAGCACAGTGCAGTTCCCACACCGTCTCCAAGCAGGCAGTGTTGCTGAAATTCTGGATTCCTACTAATGACAGGACCCCAGAATCTAACAGCACCACAAGACTGCATGCATCACATGTCAGGAACTAAATATAATGGTTATTAGCTTAAAAGTGGTAGTTTACATGCAAGCACAGTGATAACCATGAGGAGCTTGCAGCCATAGGAACACATGCTAATAGCTTCAGAAAAGGCCACTGACACAGCTTTTCGTTGTCTGTAACTTCACTGCATGGGCATTGTTTGTACTCTGACAAGAAGGGAATATATAATAACATGGAGAAGACAGACTTGCTCCTTCACATCCAAGTTCATATTGCAATTCACTAAGTCATGTGTGCCTGTATTTACACTGCAGGTCTTAGATTCTCTGGGATCCTGCACTATGTCTAGTGGACTTCACATCTGCGCAACATGCACTACAAGTGCTGACTTGAGGTGTCCAGCCTTTTGCTGGAGACTGGAAGGAAAGCAAGGTTAGAAAGACTGAATGAAAAGAAACATCATGCTAGACAGGAGATCTAGTCATACATCTTTTGTTAAAATTAAGTGAGAATGGATGACTAAGCCTTTAAACTTGCTTCGAAAACTTCAACCAACTTTTTAAAAGTTACTCTCAGGGAGAATTTAAAACATTCTCAGGGAGTGTCAAAACATGCAAGACCTTGGTGAAATGCCAGATGGCCTTCCTAAGTCATCTTGACCTTGACTGGCCTTTGCTTAGGTTCTCATTTCTCCTTGACAGCCATTTGCATGGACAATCTGATAAACAAGGACAGTACACTCCTGAACAAATATGCTGAACTACTTCACAGAACTGATTGAGCAGCATACATTTAAGAAAAGATCATTTCAGCAGCTTGCAAGGCTAAAATCTTAGAGGCAAACAGAAAGCTCCAAATCACAAGCACACACCTGACTGTTGAGTCCGAAGATCCAGTAATGATCACCCGTTCATCGTACTGGAGGCACAGGACAGAACCCGTGTGGCCGGTGAGAATTCGCTTGCATTCTAATGTATTCTTATCCCAGATCTAAGATAGCAAACATTCAAAACCAGACAGTTCAGTAAGGTTTTCATCTTTCAGCACTTACTGGTTTCACTAGTCTGGTTTTTTACTACAACACATCATCCATAGTGCAGTTAGAACATCTTTAGTGGCATCTGTAGAGAATTCTACAGTCTCTTTGGTGCAATACATTAACATCTTTGATATTACCGGCTTTACTATGAACACTGGTTTTACCCCTCTCATCAGGGTACAGGGCACAGTAATTACACAGCCTGTAATTGCTGATGGACAAAAAACTCTGCTAGTGAAGTCTGTCTGCAAGAAAACAGGGTCCCTCTTGCCAGATAAAAGACGCATACATGCTGTGCAGGTGTGAGGTGGAGGAAGGAGAAGACTAGGTTACTAACAAGAGGTTGAGTAGGTGTCGCTGAAATTAGGACGCCACTATTCATGGCATAGACACTGCATGCCATTAGTATGCCATTTTGGACATTCTCACCTTAATAGTATTGTCTCGTAGGCCACTTACTATCTTCTGATCATCATACTGTAAACAATAAACCCCTTTGCTTGTCTCACTTCGGCAGTGGATCCTCTGTAAACTGTGCCTTCCACACCGCCAGTTAGACTCTATTGTCTTGAGGAGAGACAGGATACAAAAGAGAAGTAAAAATAAAGCACGGAACTATCTCCCCTTGTTTTGTTTGTTTGAGAAGACAACAGATACTTTTCTTCACACTTTTTTCTGCAATCAGGCCCATACAATAACATAACTGCTTTCCAGAAGAAGTAACATACGTAATAAACCCAATTAAACAGACAAAAGCCTGGAAAACATACTGTGGCTAAACTCGTCTGTGTTACCTGGAATGGTGAGGGAGAAGTGACCTAAAAGCTTTTTTCTGTCTTCAGCCTTTAATCCCCTGTGACTCAACGACTAAATAACTGAAAAGAAAGACTCAGTTGAGCTCTAGCTAAGTGCTTGTACAAACTTGTCACAACAGTGCCCGCGCACTGCTTTTGCCATTAGGAAACTACCTACATGGCATTTTGCTCACACTAGGTACAAGGCAACAATGCTCAGTCGCTTCCTGTTTCCCTGGGTCTTAGGATTGCAGTCTTTAGCAATCCACTTTCTCCCTGGCTCAATTCCTGAAATCTCCCCGTAACATCTTATTAGGTCTCATGTGCATTGGGTGGAGCAAAATACCATGGAATAGAGAAAATCAAGACAGTACGGTGCTGCTGTGACATCTGATGCGCAAGGTGTAGAGACTCCATCTATAAACAGCTCACTGAACAATCCAACTCATTCTCTGTCTAAAGGAGCAGTGAAGCCCGGGACCTTAAATAACTATCCCAGATCTATAAACTCTGGATAAACACAGACACATCAGATTTAATGAAATATTTCATTAGAACAAAATATTCTCAGAATTTCAGCATCATGAATAAAGCAGGGAGATTTAAAAAATCCCAACCAAACGCCACCACATCTGGAAGGTGTTTCTTACCTCTATGTCCTGTATAATTTTGGGGTAAAGTGCTCTGTAGAAGGAGTTGGGTGGTGCAGTCCCATCAGGAGGTTTATTTTTAAATAGATATTGTCCCCTGGAAGACAAAGAACACTCCCATTGAACACAAATCATGTTTCAGCATTTAGGAGAAACGTCCTCCTGGCATTTTACAAATGGGTAAACACTGCTGAAAAGCACAAACAGATTCATATTCAAACTTAATTTACTCAGTAAGACAGGGTGGTTCCTTGTTTGTTTGCCCTGCAACACGTCAGTGTTGCATTTTGACACTGAAATACTCGTGAAAAATCTGTGCCTAGTCACTCAGGGAAGGGAAATATATTATCTATTACAGACACGATCCCATTCAACTCAATAGGAGGTGAGAATGGCTCATGCCTGCAATACACATAGCTACATCAGACGTCACCTTTAAAATAAAGTGTGTAAAGAAAATGAAAGAAGCCAAGGAACACTCAAACTCACTATGCATTCAAGGCTAGCTTTTATCTGCATTGGCAGGAACAGTATCAGTTTTGGTACATGGACATTTTACTGCTACTACTATATTTTGGTAAGCAACACGTCATCTGTGGTGCCTCCCTCATTTCAACACTGATTTGGAATACTCATATCCCAAGCTAGATTTTTGCTACAAAAAAATCCCCCATAAACAGCAATCACTACCTGCTGTGTAAAAAACTTTAATTCCTCATCCTGAAGTTAAGAAGCCACCAAACACGGTGTGGAAGCTAGTAAACCCCACCATGGGCGTACTAACTGCTGTTCTGCCTGGCAACATGCCTCACAAAATGGAGAGAGGCACAAATGCCTCCAAGTGTAATCCTGGCATCAGAGGCACAGAGTTTGCGCTGGGCCAGCTCTCCACTTCTCCCCTCTCTTGCTCCATTATGGCATAATTAATTGTTCAATACTTCCTTGCGCATTTCTTTCTTGTTCTTTCCATACAGTGTACCTTGAAACTCATTTGAGAGACTGACTGTACATTAGCTGCCCTGATGTACTTGAACTAGGGAAATCACAACAATGAACTGAAATTTTTAGGTTATAAGGTGGTAGCAAACTATAGGACTGAACAAACAAAATAACAAATGCTCAAGAAAAGAACTTCTGATAAGTCTTTAAATAAAGTACTTTAAGTATGACTTGAGAGAAAGGTGCTTTCCACTTTGGACAGAGCAGTCATCTGAGTCTTCAAATACAGTGACCAGCAGCCACTCATATGGGGACAAACACACGTCAAGAAGGGAACACATGGATGCAGGCAAACCACTAACTTGATGGTTGCCTATTTACTGTGACCCAGTCTGGAAGTGCATACAAGAAAATTAAAATTATTGGCCCAGGGAGATGAAAAATGCTTTGGAGATACACAGAATACCTAGAACACAACCTGGAAGACTTGGGGTAGGTCTACAACAATCTGTATACAAGCTTACGTGCCTGAAAACCTGTCTATTGTTTCCAACTTTACTAGTGGATCTAATACAAGGTCTTGTTGCTACCTATAAGCTCTGCCTTGCTGCATGTAGAGTCAGTTGTTTACAGTTCAGCTAAAGGATTGCTTGGAATTTCCATGGCATCCCAGTGGCCGTTGTGCTGCGGCTCTGGGATAAAAGGAACTATTGTTTGCAGGTTTTGATGACTGGCCAATTCAATCAAGTATTCAGATGGACACAATCGTGCCCAGATTTTGGGCTTCTGTTTTATATTTCTCTAAATCTGTGTAACCCTTACTGCTCCCTGACAAGCTGTCAGTGAAGGCTACCGTGCTGTGGAACTGGGTGTTTCTGTTGTAAACCACGAGCTGCAAATGGTGAAATCAGGCAGCCCATGTGCAAAGTGAAGAGCTCTAAGCAAATGACACCAGTCATCTATCATTCTGAACTGTCCAGTTAGCCATCTCTTTGTGCCATGCACAATGTTAGCACTGATTACAAGCTATAAAGCTCTGTATGGCAGACACGCAATTACACTGTATATTTCTTGTCTGCCTCTCTTAACCACCCCACCATGCCTGCAGTTGTATCTTCTAGAGCTAATCAGAAAGACAGGACACAATTTGCTCCTGCTGTGCCAAAGCAACCTCCAGGACACAGTGTAAAACAGAAGAAGAGGTGCAAGTAACAAGGTGTGACTGTCCTTTGAGATGAGAAGCAGAATTTTGCAACTCTTTTTTAGAATTGTCACGTCTGTATGACTAGTAATCGGTGTTAATGTTATTTCTAAAATCTGGAGGAAGCAACTTGAGAACTACCAGCTATGACCTCTGACAAGATGTAGAGAATAGGTAAAGTTCTACAGAACAGAAAAAAAAGTGTAGCTCTTGCATTTTAAAACAGGGAAGAAGGCCCACCAAGGAAATGGTGGACCATCCAACTCCACTCGGACAGCTTAGCAGTTCTAGAGCACACAGTCAATCAGATGACTGCCTAGAAGATGACAAAGTGACAAACAACAGGCAACACTGATCAATCCAGAATACACCATGTCAAACTGACCTAATTTCTTCTCACAGGCTGTTCTCATTACTTAGCAAGAGAAGTATGACCTTGGAAGAGCTCAAGGGTGGACATACAAATGGCTGGAAAGCACAGTTCACCAATGGTGCACCGTCAAACCGAATGGCAACTGGGGTCTTGCACGGAGTCTGTCCTAGATGTGTCATTATTGAGCATTTTCATTAATGACAAAGAATGGAATAGGGAGTGCATTTATTACCTGGCCAATGATACTAAAGCTGGGAGAAGCTACAAGCACTTTGGAGGACAAGATTAAACTCATAATGCTCCTGATAAAATGGAGAAATACCAAACAATAAACAGAATCTAATTCAATAAGGACAAGTGCCAAGTTCACCACTGAGGAACAACATAAGCATGCAAGATGAGGAATAATGGCTAAGTAGAATTTCCACAGAAAGGGTAATTAATTTTATAACAGTATCATACCACTGTTCAAAAAAAAAGCACATGTTCTACCGGAAAGCATAAAATGGAGTGTCCTCCATATGGCATGCAAAGCAACGCTTCCCATGCCACCAAACTCTGGTGGCGCCTTGGCAGAAGTAAGACAACCAGCTGAATACACCAAACAAGAATGGAGCAGAGTAACTGGGGAGGGTCCAAACAGAGAAAGCCAAGAATGACAACAGGACAAGACAACACAGGATTATGGTTGGTTAACACACCCAAAATATAGGAAACATGATCATCTTCCAACATGGAAAACTTTACTGCAAAAATGAGAATGAGAAACTGTCCTGTGTGTCTGTGTAGGCTAAATACAACATGCCAAACTGTATGTAGGAAGACAGCCTATATTTTAGGAAAATCTTTCTAATGCAAAAGTTAGTGAAACAGTAGAATTCCTTGCCCATGCAAGGCCTGGGGAATCTCCATCAGTGAAGGTTTTTAAGAACAAGTTAGACAAACATCTGGGATGACTTAAGAGAAACCTGGCTTTGCTTTTGGGAAACAGGAGGGGCTAAATAACCTCTCAAGGTCCTCTTTGGACTTACTGTGACCTCAACAACACAGAGCAAATACAGAAGTCCTTGAGAGTATAAGGCACTAAAAGGAATGCAAAAGTTACCACTGCCATGCTTGTGTTCATTTTACACTCTTCATAAACATTACACTATTGAAAGCAGATCAAAACAGTATTTATTTTTAAAGAATGTTTCATAATCCTGATTTACTTGCCTTTACTTCCTCAGACAAACAGTATAACAAAATTAACCATAAAACAGGAGTCTTTGTTTGCAACTCCGTATCTTTTTCTTTTTAATAGCAACCAAAATGCCTGAGCTGTCACTTTTATCTTGTTTATGAAATATTCATACCCAGCTTCCTTTCTGCCAACATCCTAGGGACACCCTTGGAAAAGAAAATTATGTATTAAAGGACGTACCCCTGAGAGGGAAAGTTCTAATGAAATGTTAACAGAGCAGCTTCAAACTTGAGTGAGACCCACATTGTAGTAAGGCTATTCCAGATGATTATTAACTAATCTATCTGCATTTCTAAAGTCCCCTATCCTCCGTGGTACCTACCCTCAGCTTCCAGTTTGAAAATTAAACAGATATCTAATAGTGAAAATCTGCTGAGGAAAACAAACAGACCTATCAGGAAACAACTAATTCATAGCACATGGTGCCCCACTGCCACCCCTAAAAAAGCTCTTCTGCTCTGAACTGCTGACTACTTTAGTGTTCCCCTGGGGCATACACAGCTTCTTAATTTGAACCGAATGACAGCTGGGCGTAAAAATCTCAGTCTGTATATCTCACTTGTCACAGTGGGATAAGAGCATGATCAGATGAGGAAGGTGAGGAAAAAGCCCCCACATTGCCGGCATAGCCAAGTGATGCCCTAACTCCCCAACCCCCGAATTTTGGTTCAAGTAACCGTCACGTTTGGAACGAACATGATGTTTCAGGGTGCTAAATAACCCTCTTCAAACATGGTTTGAAACACACAGCACCTACTGTCCTGAATGGGGGCAAAAGAGGTGAAGATGCAGTTTCCTCACCATCCTCTCCTCTCTGACAACCCCCTCCACAGGGAGTCTGTCCTGACCATTCTCTCGATGAGCTTCTTCCACAGCATGCCATCCGACGTCACCCGGTACCACTCCTTGCACACCAGCTCAGCAGCACACAACGATCTGGCATCCAGGTATGACAGAATGTTCTCAGCAATGTGATCCAATCCCCGAGCTGGGGGAGAAAAAAAAGAAGATTATTTGCTGGGGAGACATGGAATTTAAAACAACTCCCCTTGCTAGTACAAAGATACTCTCTCTTTCCATCTCCTCTTCTACATGCAGAGCTGGACCAAATGCACAGAAGAGCATTTGCGGCTAAGTTCAGGAGTGAACAGCATTCTCCAACTTCCTTTGGATATAACACAACAAGTCATTAAAAATAATAAAGAATCCAAGAAGTCATTCCAATCTATTTCGATGGGTTTTAGCACTAGGGGGATATTCTATGGATGGCATTTCCAACTCAGCGACGCAGCCCCCAAAATCTCTCTATATTAGGACCATTTCTCATCTCACTGCTACAGCTGTTCTCATGTTCCAACGGCTCAAAAGCTGTTTTTGCTAAAGCAGTAGCTTTTAAACGTAATGAAGAAAAAAATATATATTCCCAATGTGCGCCCTGAAGGGTAGTGGTACCTTTAGACATGGGGGAGGGAAAGATATGCAGATGCACAAGGAAGTCGAGACGGAAGGAGAGGCTGTGTAAGGAGAAAGTGAAGCAGGTTTGCTAGTTTCATTTATTTCAGTGGGTGAAGGAAAAATATGCACCAAAATGGTATAATGTGCAAATATTTTCCAGTGTGAATACCAGGACTGGCTTTGTTTCAACATGGCGGGAGTGAAATGTAAAGCAAACGCCTGGTTAGCACCAAGCAGCCCGACGTAACATCTGTGTAGCTGGGGGCCAGGGAAGGTTATGCTACGTTTCTTAACTGTATGGATGTATTCAGTAAAAATGTGCCCCTACCACTTAAATTTAATCACCAGCAAGACTTCAGGAAAATAAGATGCCTTTTAAATGAGATGTTGCATAAATACAGCTTCTCTTGGAGGCTGTTTAATTCACAAGTGAGACACACCATCAAGAGATTATGTCACTTCACAGGTCAAATTTCAGAGGCTTTGTGAAAGTTGTAGTTTACAACCCATCATCCCTCACGCATAACGTTCAGACCGTCCAAAAAGGAAGCATGGCAGATTGGTATTACATGCATCTTCCCTCTGGTTCACATTTGGGACAGAGTTAAATACATCTTTTCTTGCTTTTAAAACAACAGCCTCAAAGACCAGGCCCTGCTTGTGACAGGGAAAGAAAAAGCAGCAAGTGCATTTTTACAGTCACATGTCCGTACTTCTGCAAGCCCAAATTGGGTGCAGTCAGCTGATTCTGATTAGAGTTCATGAGACACACAAGGCCCAACCTTTGTTTTCGTTAACTATAAGATCTCAAAATTACCATCCAACGCATGAAAATGAGAAAATTCAGCATGCCTCCTCTCGCTCCTTTCAAAAATCCTAAATTTGTAATACTCTTTGGGTGAGACATTCTGCCCAGCGTTTTATGCTTTCATTCATACGTAGAAAAAGCACGTGAATGATACCATGCACAACCAGAGAGTGCAGAAAGAGGTCTGACATTTCTTATCTTTATAGATGCAAAATTAGATGTCAACCTGCAAAATAAAAGCATCAGCAGCCTTTATTATGTATTTAATCTGAAAAGATATACACAGCCACAATATAAAATTCTTTAAAAAAAAAGAAAAAAGAGTGTTTGTAAATTTAAATGGACTCTACAGCAATTCGTGGAAAGAGAGATAAAATGTTTTAGTGAACATGAACTGGAATTTGCAGGAATTCTGCAGTTTGGTAGGGCAGACATGGACATCATGTCCCTCTGCTTCCCCACCCTGACACCTGCAGCCCTGAGCTCTCTCCACTGGGTGGAAATGGCATATTTGCTTTCCCAGTCTGTGCTGCTTCCAGTGGGCCCACTGACATTTACAGACGCACCAGGACATTTACAAATGCCTGCCTGTGTAGTATCCATACTGGTGGCTTTATGTCAGCAGCATCACAGCAAGAAATTATTTCACGTGGGGAACAATCAGTGACTTTAGAAAGCAGGGCTACACTGCACAAACTGGGCACAGAAATCTTCACCCACAAGTCTGCCTCTGACCCACCTGCCCTTTCTGGATCATTAGTAGTTGTACTTTAGATCTTGCTGCAATGAGGTGTTGTAACTACTTCCGTGACCATAAGTCACCCTTTGCCATTGATCCTAGACCCTTCGCAGAGAAGGAATACTAATGTTTTAGCCTTTCCTCCTCACGTTTATGGTAAGTGGATGGGAAGAGCTATTTTGGCCTGGCTGCAGACTCAATTTTATTATTTCCTTTCTCAGGAACAGCACAACTCACTGAGACATATATATCTAACAAAGCATTGCTTCCTTAAAAAAACAGAGAAATCTCTGCTCACAAAAGTTTTTGCTAAATCAATGTGAAACATGATTAGCCCTTCAGCCCTCCACACCAACAAGAATGTTTCAGTTATTTCACACATGAAACCCTTATAAAAATGACTTTCCTCACAAAAAATGTTAAACAGCTTGGAAATGCTAAGCAGAGAGCTTACTTTTCAGAAATAGAACAAAGTTTGTTAAGTACACAGTTAAGCTGTATTTTTCAAACAACTTTAATTCTGCTCAAAGTACTGGGAAAATAATCTGAGCCAATTTTACTCTATATTAGTAAAATGTGCTCATGATCTAAAACTACCTTTAATTCTGGTCATTCTTTGGGACAGTGCTAGGAGGACAGATTAAGATGCCTCATGATTCTAAAGTAGCTTTCTTGTTTTATTTACTTGAGGGGGAGAGCAGGAGAGAGAATGAAGGAGTAAAAATGAAAACAGAATACTGAACACTTAAGAATTTCAGAGAGCTAAAAAATACTTAGAGTTTAGGGGGTTTTTATTATGTAACTTAATATAAAATTTTAGGTTCATCACTCT